AAGATGTCAAATTCAACTGAGGAAATAAATATTGCACAACACCTCTTTTAGCAATAACGAGATACTTTTTAATAATCATGCTGAATCAATTTCAGTAGCATTCCTTCTCACGAAATTCTTTTTTGTTTTTTTGTAAGAACTTAAAAATCTTTTGTTTGAACCAAATGTCAATCAAGTGTTATATAGATTTTCGTTATTTCCAGATCTGATAAGATTGACTGAAAAAAAAAAAAAAGAAACTACTTTACTGCGTTAATACACTTTGAAATATTTTTATTTATTGCATTCGGGTATAGCGACCTTCAGATTATCAGACGAGTAAATCTCGTTCCCAGGTTCTTCGCTCCAAAAGACTGACCCGTAGATAGTTCAGTTGTCGATTCAGGTCATGCCGTGTGCCAGTTTAGTTCAAGAGCTATGTCGCGATATTTAAGTCTATTTTTCTGATGCACACAATAATCTTCAACAAAACCTCAAACTATATAGTTTCCTAACACAAAAAACATCAAAAAGTAAGATTTAGGAAGATTGAGACGATTTCGCGCGACAAACTTCAAAACTTTGGCCATGTTTTTGAAAATACGCCTTCCTTGTTCAAATTTCCTTTACAATTTAACAATGTCTAAAACTGGTAAAACGCCTGGCAGTGCGTTTAATGGCAAAACGTCATGATCACCACGTAGTTCTGTATCGCCCTGTTTGAAAGAGGGGGTGTCAATACAAAACACAAAACGTACATTTTTCCATTATTTGACTAATCTTTCTTATTATTATTATTTTTTATCAGCTTTCTTTTAAATCAATTCAATGTACCTTTTGAAGATTGTAATGATTGAGAGAAACGGGTTATCGAACCAAAGGCAAAACCACAACTCCTCCCTTTAAGCTCATTTAAGATCTTNTATGGCGACTTTCAGATTGTCAGACGAGTAAATCTCGTTCCCAGGTTCTTCGCTCCAAAAGACTGACCCGGCCGTAGATAGTTCAATTGTCGATTCATGTAGTGTACCAGTTTAGTCCAAGAGCTATGTCGCGATATTTAAGTCTATTTTTCTGATGTACACAATAATCTTCAACAAAACCTCAAACTATATAGTTTCCTAACACAAAAAACATCAAAAAGTAAGATTTAGGAAGATTGAGACGATTTCGCGCAACAAACTTCAAAACTTTGGCCATTTTTTTGAAAATACGCGTTCCGTGTTCAAATTTACTTTATAATTTAACAATGTCTAAAACTGCAAACACGCCTTGCTGTGCGTTCAATGGCAAAACGTCACCACGTAGTTCTGTATCGCCCTGTTTTAAAGAGGGGGTGTCAATACAAAACACAAAACGTACATTTTTTCCATTATTTGACTGATCTTTGTTATTATTATTATTTTTTGTTAGCTTTCTTTTAAATCAATTCAATGTACCTTTTGATGATTGTAATGATTGAGAGAAACGGGTTATCAAACCAAAGGCAAAACCACAACACCTCCCTTTAAGCTCATTTAAGATCTTGTGGAGGAATGTTCTATTGTT